CAATTTGTCAAAAGATGGGAAGGTATTTTATGGGCACTAATAAACAGCACAATGAAGTCAGGGATATTTGAGGGTTTAAATCCTCAAATATAAACATAAATGAGCAGAAGGTCCCCTGGTGTCTTAGGGGTCCTAAGCAACCTTTCCGCCTGCAGATGCCTCGCGCTGGCTCCCCATTTGTGAACAGGACTCTGCTAGCGTTGCTGATTAGCACTGGGCTGTCGTCTTGGTAATGGTTGTTAGAAACAGATATTGTGCTGTGTATTTCCTGAGCCTGCTGAGACTGGACACAGCAGAACAAGTATCATAAAACAACTGTCAGAGCACACAGAGCAGAGCCTGGACATCACTAAATACTTTTATTTTGAAATGCTACATAAGACAAACATTTTAGAAGACTATTAGCTGTTTCATCATTCAAAATGTGCATTTTATTTAGCTATCCTGCAACTGCCTAGGAGACGGAGTCTGTGGAGGTCCACCCTGACTGTCTATGATCCCTGAATGATTTTAAATCAGGCCTAAAATCAAATCTGTTTACTATTACATTTCAGCTATTACAGTCTCATTTGCTCACTTGAGGAGCCCACATAAACCCAGCAGGTACTGTACGTGCAGAATCCAAGGCCAGAATCAGGTTCAAATCCAGGAGCTTGTTGGTTTTAGACCATACTGCTAACTTGAGGCCACAAATGCCACTGTGTCTCGGCTGTTGTCGTCAAAGCAACCAAGAAGAGAGGAGTTTAGGTTTGGGCTTTTCTGGGTGGACCGCAGCAATTTCTCCTCCTATGCATCTCAGGCCTCTTTCTTCTGTTTCTTTAGTGACTGGGGCAGCTGGTGGGAGGTGGTGGGTGTTGCGTAGCTTAGCAACTCCCTTGGCGGATGGCGATTGATATGCAGCTTTGTTCAAGTGTCTCTCTCTCTCTAAGCCAGCGAGGGGGACGCCTGAACAAAGCAGGCCTTATTGAAGCTGCTCCTCCTCCTTCTCTTTGCCCAGGCACAGCGACGTGGGAGAACAAATATTTCAGCTCAAAGGAAGCGAGACTCCACTTACAGTAGGTCCTGAAAGTGTAACCAGGGGGTCGTCAACATCTGTGAAGGTACTCCAGGTGTCCTCAGTAAAATAATGAATTATACATCTTCTTGATCCACTTGAAATAATCCCCCAACTCAGTGCAACCGAAGCAAACAGTTTCACTGAACAAGAGACATTAAATGTTTAGTGAAATATAGTCAGTACAGAAAGTATTAAGACCAGTTGAAGTTTCCCATAACTTATGTTTCAGACTGCTCTAAAAAAAATTTCTCATCAGTCTACACACTGATGTGTAGTGTTTTGAAAATGCATTAAAAATAAAAGATTGAAGTAAGACTGACATAAGTATCCAGACCCTTCACTTAATGCATGGTTAAAGCACTTTTGGCACCAATGACAGCCTCAGGTCTTCTTGAAAATTAAGCTGCAAGCTTGGAACCTTTCTTTTGGAATTTCCTTCCATTTTTCTTGACAGAATCATTCAAGGTCATCCAGGTTGGATGGAGAGCATTGGTGCACAGGTCTGGGCTCAGGTCCAGACTCTGCCTGGGCCACACCTGGTGGAAAGCTTCAGGCTGTTGTCTTGTTGAAATGTAAACCTTTGCCCCAGCCTGAGCTCCTGAGCACTTTGGAGAAGGTTTTCACTCAGAAGTACTCAATATTTTCAGACTGTCATGTACCTTTTGGTGAGAAATAGCTTCCACCTGGCCATTCTATCATAGAGGCCTGATTGGTGGAGTGCTGCACTGATGGTTGTCCTTCTGTAAGGTTCTCCCATCTCCAGAAAGGACCCTTGGGTTCTCGGTTACAGGTATGACCATGGCCCTTTATCCCCGATTATTCAGTCTGGCTGGGCGGCCAGATCTATGAAGACTGGTGCTGGTTCCAGATCTCTTACATTTGAGAATGATGGAGGCTCTTGAACACTTTCAATGCTGCAGAAGTTTTCTTGTTTCTTTCTCCAAGTCTGTTCCTTGACATCCTGTCTTGCAGGTCTGTGGGACGTTCTCCCAACCTCCTGGTTTTGTCTTCCCTCTGACATAGACCATCAACTGTGAGACCTTATATAGACAGGTGTGTGCCTTTCCTAATTATGTTCATTGCATTAAATTAGGAGGACTCTAATCAAGCTGTAGAAGCATCTCAATGATGACCATTGATAGGAGTAGGATGCACCAGAGCTCAACTGCAAGTGTCATAAAAAAAAGGGTCAGAATACTTATGTAAATGGGATATTTGAGTTTGATTTATTTTTTGATACATTTACAAACACTCCAAAAACCTGTTTTCACTTTATCATTGTATTGTGTAAGATTGAAAAGCTAAAAATTAAACAATCTATTTTAAGATGAGTCTGAACTATAATAAAATGTGGAAAACGTTCTGTACTGACTGTACTTGTGTCTCCATCTTCCCCACTGTCAAATGAGAAGATGGGTATCAGTTTCATCTTCAGTACAAAGGGATTGCTTTTATTAAGATATGTTGGAATGATGTACTAGGTTAAGCCTGTGTAAAACAGCTTGCATTTAAATAAAAACTTTATGAATACACTTACTCAGAACTAAAATCTGTGCCAAATTTCCAGCCAGGTCAGGCTAACAGCTACTCGGTGAGAACACTTGCATATTTTCTGATCCCAGACATCCAAATATGAGCTGCATCCGGCCCAAACACAGCTGCTACATTTGATTCGAATTCAGGGGTGTGCAGCTGATTTGGGCTAATGATGAGCTCCTGTTAGCAGCACTCAGGGCAGCTGTGGGCCAGCACCTGATTCAAACCACCTGTTGACAGCTGACATAAAGAGGAAAACAAACAAGGCCAGTTTGTGGTTTGCCAACACTGGAGAATGAGCAGTGAGAAAAATCTCTGAACCCCTTATCTATTCCTGCTAATTCACCTAATGCTGAATTTTCTCAAATGTCCTTGTAGCTGTTCAAGTTCTTCCACAATGCACATTTACTATTGGAGTATACAGTTTAACAGCTTCAAGCAAAAGCTGACATTGTATTGTGTGTGTGTGTATTTTAAAGTACACAGATGTCGGTGACAATGACCCGATACTTAAGATAACACAGACCAAGGCAGTGGATTAAGTTAAACATCTATGTCTTTTGATTTTAAAGTTAAGCTACGGGGTATTTTTGTGAATCCACTAACAGAAGGTGTTACAGCTAACGTAGCACTTAGCCTGCAAACAGGAAAACCTACCGCAGCCATCAAAATAAAAAAAACACACCTTTCAAGACTGTCAAGATGCAAGATTTATGAAAGTTCCATATCTTGATCAGTGCACTGCATACAGGACATTATATTGTGTACAAAATATATGGTGCACAAGATAATAAATGGGATAACATCACACAAAATAATATTACACACACAGGAGAGTATGTCATATACTTCAGGATATTTGTGAATAAAGAGATACATGAGATCAAACTATATGTGGCTCAAGATGTGAGTCTAGTATCCACAGGATCTTTTAGGACTTCAGAGGCTCCGTAGAGGGGAATTTGTGAAATACACATGGGTGACAAATGAAAGGACAAACAGCGTAAAGCGACCAACATAGAGTTTTTAGTCTGTCCAGAGCAGCCTCAGGTCTCCTCTGTTGCAGGGAGGGACATCTTCCCTCACTGTGACTAACACACTTTGTCATCCTCAATAAGCCATTCACTAACATAAAGCTGCAACCATTAGTCAGCTGATAGAAAATTAACATGCAACTATTTTGAAGCAGCAATCACCAACATTTTCTGGTTCCACCTTCTTTAATGTGAAGAACCAATGCTTTTCTTTGTCAGACATGAGAATAAAATGAATAGCTTTGGATTTGTTGGTTGGACACAACATTTGAAGACATCACCTTTGACTCTGGAAAATGGACATTTCCCCCAATGTTTGACCTTCTGTGAGTAAAAAGTTCAATCAAATAATCATCAGATTAATCAGTGACCCCTTTATTTTTTTAATTTCCACTAATTTATTCAGGATTTTCATGTCATTCTTCTCCCGTCTGTAAATTCTACATTCAGCTGTTTTCCATTTCTGAATGAACAAGATGAGTTTATGGCCATTCACATTTTCTGCCAGAAGAAAAAACAATGCACAGCAAATTTTTAAATCAATATTTTTTTTTTTAAATTGTTGAGAATGGCTGGAAAATACTTGGGTAAGTAAAGAATTCTTGTCTGGTCTCCCCAGCAACTGGTCACAGAGTGACTGTGTTCATTATGTCTGCAGAAACTCAAAGGCCAACTGTTATTGTGGTGCTGTGACCTTCAGTGATTGAATAATGACAAAAAGGAGCATTGCAGTCAGGCATGAACAGCTTTCTCCTTCAGTGGGTGTGAGAGCACTGCTGCATTCTTTCCAGTCTAAATGAGCCATCTCTCTTTGTCGCACCATATCAAATTAATCCACAAAGGTGCTCAGAAGTTCTGTGAATAAAATCCTTACCACCAGAAAACTCTTTTCTCCGTCTGCTTATTTTTCTTTGCTTTAGAAAAAGAAAACTATTTCTCCTCACAAATTTTTTAAAATATTTAAATTTGTGACTCTGGCTCTTCTGATTGGCACACTGTCACTAAAGTCTTACTTTTTATGGGAGCCCCACAGACACTGTAATTGGTTAAAAGGAGTCAACTCACAGGATATGGCTAAAGTTAATTAACATTTTTCTTATTGTCAACAAATTGCATATGCAACTTCTGACTTCCCAGTAAGAAGGTTCTGGGTTCCAGCCCGGCTGACCTGATGCCTTACTTTGTGGAGTCTGCATGTTCTCCCTGTGCCTGCGTGGGTTCTACCCGGGTACTCCGGCCTCCTCCCAGTTCAAAGACATGCAGCTTAGGTTGACTGGCCATAGGAGTGTGTGTGGGTGTGTGTGGTTGTTTGTCTACATGTCAGGCCTGTGATAGACTGGCGACCTGTCCAGGGTGGACCCCGCCTCTCGCCAAGTGTCAGCTGGGATTGGCGCCAGCACCCCTCATTATTCAGGAATAAGTGCTATAGGTAATGGATGGATGGACTTCTGACTACCTTGTGGCACTCAGCCCAAAATCCATTAGCTCCTACTGAAAACATAACTCTTTTAAAAGTCCCCACAAAAATGTCTTTAAAAACAATTTTTAAAAGTCTCTGTAATCTAACAAAACAGTTGGGCACTGGCATCTTTAGCCAGTGTTACTCAAACCGGAGTACAAGTGGTGGATTTCTTGGGGACTTTAGTGAGTACCTTCTGGCAGCAAGCGATGAACTGGTGCAACTGGTGCAACAGTGTGACTCAAGTGTTTTTAATGTCTCCTGAGCGCTATGGAACATACACAGGATCAGTTGACTCTTGGTTTTAGTCTTTCCACTGGATTTGTTGACAATAAGTAAAATACAAATTATCACCACTTATCTTTTAAGATGTAATTCTTAATTATGGCTCTCCTGCTGGAAAAAAATTCTGTAGCTTTGATTAAAAAAATTAAAACATATAAACTCCTCAATTCATATTTAAAATGATAGATAAAACTACTACTTTCAGACATACTGTAGTACGTTCAGTCAGCTGGACTGTGAAAGGTGTAACACATTTCTACTGTAATTATTAGTGGACTAAGAGGCAGATAGAGCATTCATGAAAAGCTTTACTACTATAATGTACACCCGACTGTAAAGAAATACACTGAGAAGGAGTTACTCACAGGTGATGCAAAACTTCTTCTTTTAGAAAATCCAGACTTTACTAAAGCAAAAACAATAAAAAAAGTAAAAAAAGTCAAACTTCATGTGGAATTGTTTCATGTTTCTGATTGATCTCTCACCAGTGTGAGCTGATGTCTGCACAGGAAGGTGTTTCATCAGCATAACTGCTGGTGTTTCACATGTGTGGAGCTGTGACTTATCACTTACATTACATGTCCTGTGTAGAAATACATGAGCAGGAACAGCAAAGTCATAAAAGAAACAGCAGTCTGTCAGTCATCTGACAAGTCTCAGTATGTTTTCATTTTCAGTTTATCTGCCTGCTTCTAAAATCCCCCAAACTCAAATTATCCAGTGTTTCACTCTCATACAGTACTTGGAGCAGGAAATACTAATAACCTGAAATGTCAGGAAATTATTAACAAGTCCTACAATGACATAATTAAATCCAGGTGGACAACGCTAAACTTTTTTAGAACATGTTTATAATTATCTAAATAGTCACACACATTTCTGCTCCTACAGTGGCTCTACACTGTCACTACATATAAACCGAGAATTTACTACATCTTGGATCTTGTTTTCATAGTTTTGTCCATCATTTCTAGCAGTACTAACTTTATATTCATCAGGTTGGTGATACTGACGCCAGGAGTCAGATGATCCAACTGTATTGTATGTACTGTGTTGCCAAATCTCAGCGATTTACTTAGTGAGTAAAATGTTTTATTACTGATAGAAATGATGGACAGAGCTATAATAAATAAAAACCATTTTGTAAAAAAAAACTTTAAAGTTACACAGGCCGGGTCTGGGCCTCAGCAGGGTGTCCCGATAGCTGCTGAAGAGTCTTTCACCTTGTCATTAACTGCTGGTTCTGTGGGCAACACGATCTTCAGTGCCTCCTCTTTGCTGGAAGGGGACAGAGAGGATGGAGAGGGCGATGTGGGTGAGGAGAGGGTGGAGGTGACAGCGGTTGAGGCCGAGGAGGATGAAGAGGAGTTGCTGTCCGGGAGGCACTCTTCACAGCAGCAGCAGCAGCAGTCCATGAAGGCCTGGCCCAGGGATCGACAGAGGCACAGCAGCAACACTGGTGTCGCGGAGCATCGCACAAATAGCAGGAACTGTCCGACCAGACCCAGCACTGGCAGAGCCACAGCTGGCAGCTCTGGGGAGATGTACGCCAGGGTGATATTACAAATGCTCTCCGGCAGGTTGCATGTGATATACAAGGTGGTGAGTGCCATCACTGTTGAGCGCAGCCTCTGCTCCCTCACATGTGGCTTCTTCTTTGTCGAGGTGGAAGACGAAGAGGAGGAGGAGCATCTGCTGGTCACCTTGGTAGCCCCAGGTTTCTGCAGAAGATGCTGCGCTAACACCTGCCTCGTCACCAAGTCGCAGGCTAGAGTGAATAGCAGTGGCAAACAGATGTAGCAACCAAGGAACCACCACATGCGGGCCCCGTGGTAGGTCAGCACCAGAGCGTAGATGCTCTCTGGGAGCTCTGCAGATGGCTCCCGGACACAGATGTCCACCTTAAACCCAGCTGTTCTGCCTCTGAGGGCAGCCATCAGCGAAGCGCCTGGATGGCTTTGCTGCAGGTCGGCGGGGAGTGTTGGCAGACTGACGGTTTCCTGTAGAAGCTGCCACAGAAGCAGCTCAAGGGTGGGCAGGACCATGGAGCCCAACCA